TGGTTCTCCTCTGGAATGGAAATGGACCGGTGTCACCTACTAGGAGAAAGATTAAGAAGATGCAGGTGAGGATGACTCCCTAGCCCTGACACAACTGTGGTTGGAGGGGCCAACTAGGTGACACTGGGTGACTAGGGCCCTGTGGCCCAGAAGCTCAGAGAAGCACACTGCTAAGGCCATCCCCAGGTCCAGGCCAGACCACCTTGCCCTCTTGACCAGATTACACTCCCCATGCAGGTTCCGTTCTCAATGTGACCAAGACATCTGCTGCAAACAGGGAAGACAAGACCTTTGAACTTGTTAACCAAGTCAGCCCTTGCCTCAAAAGTGAAACCACAAAATGGTCTTCCCAGCCTGCTAGAAGGGACGGGAGCTGGGGCAGGTACCAGTAGAAACTGAGCCGGTAGATGAGGCCCAGGCTATCCCAGACCAAAATACTCTAGAATTCTGCTTGACTCCTCCAGGCCTAGCCCAGCATATACAGTTCCACCTCTGAGCATACGAATCCCTCCCAGTTCTATTGTGTCTTAAGGGGCCAGGGCTCAACTTGACAGAAGCTCTGCTCTGAGGACACCCACTCCTGTGCTTACTCGCTGGATGGATGCTACCTGCTTCCCCGGGTGGCCTCAGCTGACTCTCACTCCTCCTCACTCCATTGCCTCCCATGAAGCCCCAGCCACACAGATTCACCACAGGAGATTGCTTTATAAATGCTCTTTTAACAATAGATCACTTGCCACCGAAACTAAGAATTTTTTTTTAGCCTTCAGGATGAGAGCATTTTGGGCAGGTATCAAAGTCAGTTATGACCTTCTCTGGAACACAGAGAGAACAGGGTGGAACATTTGCAGAGCATCTGAAAGTGGTGGCTACTGTTATTTTGAAGATCTCTTATTTATGGCAAGCTCCATGCTCTGCTCTGTACCTAGAATAAAGGTAAAGGAGCTGGCCCTGAGCTCTTTGAAGCAAAAGGTTCACGAGATGAAAGTTCCAGTTCAAGGAAGGCTCAGGTCTCTTTATATTACAGAAGAGGAGGAAGAATTCCACAGAGCCCCAAACCCAGAGACAGACCTAGAGAAGGGGAAACAAATGGAGATAAAAGGGTTTCTGAACAGATGGTGGTAACTTAAATCAGGAGAGGCAGAGGGAAGAGGTAGCAGAAGTGACATGGCGGTCAGCAAGTGAGAGGGCTTAAAGGGAGGCTGGGAGTAGGAAGGTAGAGGGAAGGAGAGAATTTAGGTGGCAGAGAACTTGATGTGATGAAAAGCCCTCAGATGTGCTGTACTTTAAGGATAAAACAGTGAGCCGAGTGGGTCGGATGGGGGATGGGGTGAGCAAGGACGCACAGTTTGGCGAGAATGATTCCAGCAGCCAGAGAATGGGAAGGGAAAGTTGATGCCAAGGATGGCGACGCAGGCGGAGTGTCTGGGGGGTGATCGAGAGCCGGACACCTGCACCGGGTGCTGTAGAGCCCACAGCACTGAATGTGAGCTTGGGCATCTGCTGTAGAGCCCACAGTACTCAGTGTGAGCTTGTGCATCTGTGGGCATGTGTGTGCACTACTCTGATGAGACAGTGCTTCATTTTTCCACTTCTCCATGAGGTCTGTGGCCAACAGACATGAAGCGCTTTGCTCTGCTGCTGCTTGCTTCTCTCCAAAGCTCTTGCCTTTTTGGTGTATGAGCGTGTGTATTTCATATTTTTGACCAATGAGGAAAAAAGCTTCAGTTGATTGTGAGTGTGCCATTAACCCCTCTAGTTTACCACCAGTGAATCTTCCTAAAAAAAGAGGGTGATTCTAGGATAGGAGGCCATCATCCAATCTTCAGGCCATAGCTGTGCGAGCCATCAGACCACATTAAGAGGAGGGAGTGTGAGGACCTGCAGGACCGCCAGCTGCTTTATTTAAGTGGTGTTTCACGTCACCCTGCCCACCTCAAAGGCTGCCACCTGGACACCTTCAAATCTCATCCATGTCAGTGATAGTGAGCCCCCACCCTCAACCTGCTACCAGCCAAGACCTGCCAGGCTCCGGAATTCAGCCTTTCTCCTCTGAACTCTATCAGCATTCTTTGCCACGTCGTCATTTCAGCAATTCCTTTGTCTCATCTTCTAGATGAGCACATAACACATCCCTGATAATTTGCACATTAGGAATGGAAGCCTTCTGCTCAGCAAGCTGAGCACCCCTCATGATGCAGGGAGAGTGGGCGGAGGGTGCTCCTCCAGACCCAGCTCTGTGTCCACACGCGCGTCCTTGCCTTTGGCCGTCACTCTGGGAGATCCCTGCCAGTTTCCATGCTCCATCTCCGCCTTCCCAGGAGCGTTCTCTCCTCTTAGAGACTGGATCTGTTCCTGGTCCACAGCTGCCTCCTCCCTGGAGCCCCAGGCATTCCAAGGGGCTCCCAAGTCAGGAGGGCCCCGCCCCCGCAGCTGCCCTTCATCTGGGGCCTCCCCCAGACTTTCTTGCTGATGGCACCTGGCCTTCTCCCTCTGCAGCCATGACCTGTTTGTCAAGCTCTCGTTGGTCCCCATGGCTGTCAGACATACCTGAGTCTCAGGTATAATCCCAGTTGGAGTTATTTCCCACATGCCTCTTTACTTCATGAAAATGAAGGCTTCAACCTTCCATGGCCATTAAGGGTTTTCCAGAATCTTCCATAACGGTTGAGCGCACCAAGGATCTCTAGAGGATTTGTGACTTCAGCACACATGCAGACACTCTTCCCTCGGATACAGCTGGAAATTCTTGTTATAAATATGCTTAAAGTTGCTGGTTCCCAACTCCCAGTGTATTGGCAAGTGTTGAACTGGCTGTGTGAGGATTACCCCAGCCCCAGAGTCAGAGATTAGGGTTTCACAGTGCAAGGGAGGGACCTGGAATCAGGATGTAGGAAATGCTAACACACCCCACTGGTATTTTTGTTGTTGTTGTTGTTCTATTATTATTAATTAATTAATATTTTAGGACAGGGTCTCACTCTGTCAGCCAGGATGAAGGGCAGTGGTGCAATCATAGCTCACTGCAGCCTCGAACTCCTGGGCTCAAGCGATCCTCCCATCTCAGTCTCCCCAGTAGGCGGGACTACAGGCATGCGCCACCGCACCCAACTAATTTTTTAAAATTTGTTAAAGATGAGGTCTCACAGTGCTGCCCAAGATGGTCTCGAACTCCTGGCCTCAAGCAGTCCTCCTGCCTTGACCTCCTAAAGTGACAATCCTCCCAAAGGGGGTTACAGGCATGAGCCACGACCGTTCCCAGCCACCTCCGTGCCCAGCCACCTCTACTGGTGTTGATCACCAGGCAGGCTTGGGAAAACTGCTTTAGCTGTAAGAGGGGAGGGTGTCCTACCCCCAGAGAGGTTCTCTTACTTTTTTCTTTAAGCAGATCACTATAGCCTCTAGCCTGCAGGGGCTCCAGGCAGTCCATCACACATAGCGGGTTGTACAGAATTTATTTAAGGACAGAGATGGGGAAGATGGAGGGGGAAAAAACCCTGCCATCTTCTGCCGTCTAAAATTTAGAGCCTATTTTGGTGAGATAAGACTGTATAGAACAGATACAAATAAACGTATATTAATGTTCTGCAACAGAGGGGGTATGGCTGGCAGGCAAAATAGAAGTGAGGAAAAGCTGGATTTGTGGAGGCCAAAGGTGCCCTCGAGGCTGCAGGTGGGTGAAAAGTTCATGTTGCCATCCAAACTATGACTCCTCTGCTTCTGTCCCTTGGTATGGAACCATTCTCTGCAGAGATGAGCCCAGGCTGTGGCTGCAGTGGGAGTGGCTTGCATGTCACTCACAGAAGCAGCAAAAGCAATCCACTGTCTGGATTGGTGATGAGCTGGGAATCTCTCAAGGTAGTGACCTAGGAGGCAGGTGGGCCAGAGGGGGCCAGAGGGAAATGAGATTGTCCTGTTCTTGCCCTTGCTCCCTTCGGGGCCGAGTCCTTTTGCTACGGTGCACTTCCTGATCCTGAGCGGACCCTCACCCAGGCGCCCACCCAGCATCCGGCAGTCATTAGTAGGTTTCCCCTCCCACTTTTTCATGAGAAAGGGATTTTGCCAGGATCTCTGTATTTATAGTGGAGAGAGGACCCAGGACTGTAAGGAGTGGGGACTTCCTCCCCAGGGATCCCACTGAAAGCCCATGTCCACTCAGGACCGAGCTCCTGCCCACTCAGAGGACTCGGGCTTTGAGCTGCCCCAGTGGGCGTGACAGGTTTGCTACAATCTAGGATTTCCCAAACTCACCTGCTGATCAGAATCCTGTAGGACGCTCGTTAAAAACAAAGATATCTGGGCCCCAAACTACAGCTAATGAATCAGAGTCTCAAGAGCAAAGGCCCTTGAAAAAACAATTCTTAGGACGCGGTCAACTTGGGAAACTTCACCGAGCCATGAACTCTCTCTTACCCTTGGGTGACCTAATTCCTGCCTCTGCTAGAAAGCTGCTGCCTAGGCTGAGCTCAGACAGGCATTCATGGGGAAAAATAAAAATAAAAATAAAAAAATAAAGCTTTCTTTCTGTTTAGAGACCAACAGCGACAACAATAATTACCAACCTTTATCAACTGTGTGCCAAGCACTCTCCAGGGGGCTCTTTGGGGAAAGGTGGATCGTGTCACACAATTCTGCCAATAGCCTAATGAGGCAAGGGCTACAGCTGTCTCCATTTTTTCAGATGGGGGTGCAGAAGGCAGGGAAGTGAAATGTCTTGCCAGAGGCACATGTAGCAGGTAACCGGCAGAGCTAGGTCACGGGCTTCTGACCACTGCCCCCGTCTCTTCCCCAACAGATTAGTCATCCTGGCACCTCGAATTAACTCCCTCCAGGGTGGCAACTCACACCACCCCCAACACCCCTCCCCCCAGACAGGGAAAAAAAAAAGAGCATAGAGTGGCAGCTCCTCTGAGAACCTGCGGTGGGCAGTTGTGAGAATGAGGCACAATGGGGAGGACAGCAAGGGGCAGGGTGCTGACCTCCCTCCTGTTGGCTCTCAGGTACTGGAACTCCTTGAGCAACCTGGTGGCATCCTTGCTGAACTCGGTGCGCTCCATCGCCTCCCTGCTCCTTCTCCTATTCCTCTTCATCATCATCTTCTCCCTCCTGGGGATGCAGCTCTTTGGAGGAAAGTTCAACTTTGATGAGATGCAGACCCGGAGGAGCACATTTGATAACTTCCCCCAGTCCCTCCTCACTGTGTTTCAGGTACGGACTCTTCTCTCCTGGGATTCGGACTCGGGGTGGTTGAGTGGCAGGGTGGTGGGGGGAGTATGGAAAACTGCACCCTTTCACCAGGCAGCCACAGCCAGCCTAGATCAGCCCTGGAGAGCCCATGCCTGCGAGAGTCTTGAGTTTTTTCTGTAGTTTCCCCTGTCCCCATCTGCTGTGGAATTCCACTAGTGGGTGGACCATTAGGGGAAACAATCTAAGTGGTTTAAAAATGCCTTCTCAGGGGAATCTCTTGAACCCAGGAGGCGGAGGTTGCAGTGAGCCGAGATCCCGCCCCCACTGCACACTCTAGCCTAGGCTACAGAGCAAGACTCTGTCTCAAAAAAAAAAAAAGAAAAGAAAAGAAAAAAAAAGAAAGCCTTCTTATCATGGAATCCTTTACTCAAATTCTCCGTGAAAGCCCAAAACATAAACAAAAGCAGACTGATCTTACTGAGCGGGGGAGAGGGGGACGAAGCCCTGGCTTTCCTACCCACCATGCTTGTCCCTGGAAAAAAATATTACTGGCCCATCAAATTTGTGATTTCAGAGATATTTTGGCTTAGGGCAAACTCAGAGTGGCATCTACTTAAGTTCAAAAGTAGATGGAGGTAAAAATGAATCACATGTAGATGCTATGAAAATCTTCAAGTGACGGATGTTTGGGGAAAGCTGGTGTAGCATGTGGCTGTCTCAGCAAACACACAACTGCACAAGGACCCTGATGCCTTACCCCCAGGAATAGCTGATGGTCAGCTCAAGCATGTGTGGAGAAAGTCAGAGATCTTTGGGCCAAAAAGCCCTTTTAGTCACCCTTCAAATCCTATTATGCCAGTGGCCAGGCCTTTTGTGTAAGGACAGTGGAATAGCTCAGAGCCCCCTGGGGAGGAGGATCGGGGGCCAGGAGGAGGGAGAGGAGTGAAAGGAAATTTTGGACAATTCTGGTGAGGTAGTGGGGCAGGGCAGGGTGGTTTCGGGTTTGCTGTTGGTCTAACGCTGTGTCCCTTATTGGTGGGAATGTGTCATTCAGATCCTGACCGGGGAGGACTGGAATTCGGTGATGTATGATGGGATCATGGCTTATGGCGGCCCCTCTTTTCCAGGGATGTTAGTCTGTATTTACTTCATCATCCTCTTCATCTGTGGAAACTGTATCCTTTGCTGCTGCCCCCCCACCCCTGCGGCCCCCAGCCCCCAGCCTGCAGCACAGTGCCAAGCGGGCACGTCCCCGCAGGTCCGGGCGGTCCCGCTCGGGCTCACACCACCCAGCCTAGAACCCCATGGCGGCGGAGGTGGGTCTGGGTGGAAACCTGCAGCTTTGCCATAGGTGAGGTTCACCTTCCGGAACCCTTCCGGGCGTGCGCTCGGCGTCCTGTAGGTGAGCGACGCCCCCTGGCGTTGCGGCGTGCGCTGCGCAGCCTCTCACACGGGCTGCGGTAGGGACACGGACCGGCTGCCCTGGGGCCGCTGCGTCCGCGCAGAGGCGGGGCGCTCCGTAAGGGAGGGTGAGCCGTTGTCCTTCAGATGACCTTCAGCTCCCCTCCTGCTTTTTGGTCAGCACCCCTCCCTCTGATGCTGCTCTCCAGGACTGGAGTCACAGGCAGAGCTGCCCAGACTTCACACAGCCCTAAAAGCTCCTTCCTGATCCTGGCTCGGGGGTGGGGTTTCCAGGGTCACAAACCACAGGTGCTGCTTCTCTTCCCCAGCTCACCACCCTGAGAGAGTCACGTCCAGAGTCAGGGGTAACATGGGAACAGCACTGGGCCAAGTCCCAGTTAAGGCAGTGCAGAGAACACAGTCATGGAAGCCTGCAGACAAGGTTTCCTCTTTTCCCAGCTGGGTGACCTCTCCTCTACCTCAGTGTCTGTAAAATGTGGCAATGGAATCATAGAACCTACTACGTAAAGGGTCGTGGGGAGTTTTAATGGGATCATGCATGCAAAGCGCCTACCACATTCAGACGCCTCTCTGGACAAGCCCCTCTTCCCCTGCCTGGGTTGCTGCTTCCCTGTGTGTGAAATGATAGGAATGTCTGGGTGCCTGGGGCTGGGGGTGAGACTTCACAAACTGAAAGCCCCCTTCTAGCTATGCTTTCTTTGATTCTGCACTTCTCTGACCCACAGCGTTTCTGTTGGTGGAGTGGGGTGGGGAGAAAGGGCAAAGAACTGTCTCCACTGGGAACTCTCGAGCCTTGGCTGGCTCCAGCCGGACCCTCCAAGGGTCTTTGTGTGTGCAGGCTCACATTAAGAGTTGGCAGAGATGCCAAGCCACCCCCTCAGTGCCTAGTTATAATAAACCGCTCTTAAGAGCATTCTGCATCCTGCTAGAGACAATGCTGTTTATAATGTCAATTACAGCCAGTCATCTCAGCGGGGAAACCAATCATGAAACCCAGCAATTAAAGTGCAAGGCAGGGCTTGCTGCCTCACTCCCGCCCGCTCCAGTGTGCAGGCTAGCCTGTTCTCATCCCTCTAGATAGCTCCAGGTAGCTAGGAGGGTGATGGGGAGCAAGGGGAGGGGAGTAACACTGTTGGGGTCTGACTCCCTCAGAGTGACTCACTGTCCAGCTCTCTCTGCTGAGGAGCTCTGCCTTGCACGTCCTACACCCCTCTGCCCCCTGTGCCCACCAAAACCCCAAGCCAAGGGTCATTTTCTTTAAGAATGGACACAAACAGATATCCTACTGAATGTGTTCTTGGCCATTGCTGTGGACAACCTGGCTGACGCTGAGAGCCTCACATCTGCCCAAAAGGAAGAGGAAGAGGAGAAGGAGAGAAAGAAGCTGGCCAGGTAACCCTCTAAGCTTGCCCAGGCCTGGGGCTCCAGGACTCCCATTCTGGAATGTCATCCCACTGGTGGCAGAGAGAGGCTTGACTGCCAGGCTGTGTTGGCTGTCCCTCCTAGGAGGACTGTGGGTTTGGGGCTTCCTAGGTTGGGCCTTTCTCCTAATTCCTAAGCATCGCTCTAGTAGGGACCATCGTGAAATATAAGTCTCTACAGTGGTGTCATATTCTCCACCTGTTGGGATTATCTTTTGAGAAGCTGTGATAGGTGGCGAGAGTGTAGGGTGGGGAGAGAGAAAGGCAACCACTCAGTTGGGAAACCCAACTCCAGCTTACGGAGGGAGTCCTCCTCACTACTTTACGATTCATCTCCAGTGTTAGGAAGGCAAGACGGGGCCCTGTGTTGTATCCTATCATTGTCTAGACGGGACAGTTCCAGGCCACACAGCTGTCAGGCACTGAGCAGAGCTCCTCCAGGAGCCAATCCTAGAGAAGATCCGCCATCCTTTTCTGCTTTGGCGGCCCAGGCATCTCTGGAGCTGCAAGAGGCCAATTGCGTGTCAGACAGAGCAGGTGTGGCTCAGCCCCGTAGCGCTTGTGACTGATCTGTACAGGAGAAGTGCCCTGGAAAAAGGAAGATGGATTCAGACCCAGGGAGCCCGCACTGGCCCCAAAAGGCCACAGGGCGGTTCCCTCCTACAGTGTTCCCTATTACTCCAGTAAACAGCCATTTATTTTTTCTGCTGCTGACTGGCCAGGACTGCCAGCCCAGAGAAGAAACAAGAGATAGTGGAGAAGCCGGCAGTGGAGGAATCCAAGGAGGAGAAGATTGAGCTGAAATCCATCACGGCTGACGGAGAGTCTCCACCCACCACCAAGGTGAGGCGCTGTCTCCTTCCTGGAGCTGTGAGGCTGGTGCTGGGGAGGGAGGGCCACAGCCTTCCCCGGCCAGACCCCATGGAGAATAGGAGAGAAAGAAGGACACCCAGTGGAAAGAAAGCCAGTGGGGGTGAACAGGAGAGCTGGGAGGAGGAAGAGAAGGCAGACTGGCTGGATCCCAGCCATCTGCTGATGTCTTGAAGGGGATATGCAAAATGACAAGGACCTATTTTCGAGCGAAGTCACTGACTAAAATGCAACTTCAAGGCTACTGCAAGCCTCTTAACTTGTGGACATATCTAACGGAATTCTTCCTCCTTCTCCCCTGTGACTGTCTAGATCAACATGGATGACCTCCAGCCCAATGAAAATGAGGATAAGAGCCCCTACCCCAACCCAGAGACTACAGGTACCAGTCCCACTGCCTAACCTGGGATTGGGAGATTGGGGGCAGAGATTTAAATCCTAAAGCCACGTGGGAGTGGCCGTGTATTGGGGACCATGGTTCCGGTGTCCCTCCATAAGTACCTTGCACTGCTGAGTGTCTTCCGTCTCTATATTTAAGCATCATCAGTCAGCATCTGGGAGACAGCTTTGTTTCTGGTTTCCTCATAATGAGATCACATTTGAGCAGTGCTTTTGTGTCCTTTCCAAGCTGGATTCTGTGTACATTTAAATTTTTGTTACATTACATGTTGTAAAATCATTATTAATTTATATAATGTATTAGTATGGCATATGTTGCAACATTATGCTCACTTAATATTAATAGTAAATCCCAAATCTGCCTTGCCCCTACTCAGGAGGCAGTGCTGAGTGCAGGGACAGCTGCCACCACAGATGTCCCACTTGTTGCTTTAGAAAATGATTTCAGGTCTCATCATAAAAGGCGCTCTTACTGACTCCATCTTCCTGTGCTTCTATCTGATACATAAATTGGCAGGCAATCTGCTTCTCAAGGGCTTTACTGTCAGAGGCCAGTGGTCTTCCCTCCAGGCTTCACTTCCCAGCTTCCTGAAATCCCATGCCCTGTCCAAGGCCTTGGCTTACCTTCCTCTGACCTAGAATTGCAGATACCATCGCCAGTTTCAAGCTTGAAGTTAATAACATGTATCAAGGGACTGTTCATTCTACTGACATTTCCTTGTTCCTGTAGGTTAGGCTGTATTTGGGTTGTTCACCAAGTTAGGTGGCTGAGAACCTCCTACATTTATGAGCAAAGCTCGGTTTCCCCTTTTGCTTTCCCTCCGCTGATTCTCTGCTTAGAACACTCACAGGCATCTTCTGTTGTCCTTGGGAACCAGACTCCCTGTGGTCACACCATCCTCACTCCCCTCCTCCTGCAAGGGAATAGGATGTGGTTTCCTGGAGCTTGGATAGAAAGAACAGGAAGGGTGTTTTCATGTGCAGGGCATTAAATAGCCTTTGAAGTTCTTAAAAACCCTTCTAGGTTGAAACTGTTAGGGAATTTCAACGACGTACTAGAATTATTGAACAAATGCAATGGGAGGATCTTGTCTTGATCCTGAAGCAACAAATACACTTTAAAATGACATTTTAGAGGTAATTGGGGGAAATTGAATATGGACTTGGAACTAAATGATTTAAAGTAGTTTTGTTAATCTTGTTGGTATAATATTTTGTAGTTCTGTTTTCAAACTGCTGCCGTGTTTATAGCCAGAGTCTAAAATGTTTACGAGTTGCTTTGCTTTTAAAATATTCCAACAACAAAAAAATGGGACAGAGAAGATAAATGGAACAAGATCAGCAAAATGTCCAAAGTTGTTGAAGCTGGTTTTATATATGAGGTTTAGTATGCAAGACTCTACTCTTGCGTGAATCTTTAAGGTTTAAAATGAAAGACAGTAATAAAACAAATTCCTTAGGGCCCTGAGAAGAGCCCTCCCATGGGGCCAGCCTCCAGGATGGGCCTCCCTGCACACACCACAAGGCAGATCTGGTATGAGGGTCTTTTCACACAGGCACCCAGCTGCAGCCAGGCCTGTACGGCAGATACACCTCTTGCATCTTCAACAAAAATCTCAAATTCTATTATTCTAAATACTGTACTCTTGGCTTTTCTCTGTCGCTCTAATGAAATCAAAGAGAAGAATGTTAAAAAAAAAAAAAAAAAAAAAAAGGGCTAATGAGGATTTTGTCACCACGTTGACCGTCCTAGAAATGCCTCTAACGTAGCTACCTGGTGGCTCTGAGGACCGGGGGATGCTCACGCTTTCCAGCTGGAAAGCTCTTCCTCCCCTCCGCTGAGGCCTCAGGATTCTTGAGATTTTTGAGCATGTGTCCTGCTCCCCGTCATTTCTGCTGGTTACATGTGTCTCTTTACTTTTGTGTTGAAACCTCTGGTCCATACCCTGACTGCCCCGCCACACACACCAGCCACCACTCCGGCCTCTGAAGCCAGCCCCAAGCATGCCCATTTGTACACTATCCCCGGTCTCCAGGTCCTCATCCAGGAGGTCCAAAGGGCAGTATGCTCTTAAAGCTGGTGGCCCCACACATCGCCCTGCCCCTAAAGGCTAAATCAGCCTGTCCTTCCTAGCTTCTCCCACCTTCCCATTTCCTCCCTTCCCTGCCTGCCCAGTCAGCTCCTGGATCCTTTAGTGCCAGGTGCAGCAGAAGTTCCCAGAGACTCCTCCGAAGATCACGTGGCCTGTTGTCTCTGTTCTGGTCAATCTCTGGTTCCCTCCTGCTTCTCTTCTCCCAAACCATGAATGGCGAAGAGCCTGATCTACCATTGTGCTCCCAACCGCTGCCCCTTCCAGGCCGCTGGCCCCTGCCATGCCTGGTTCGTGCAGGTACCCCTTAGCAAGCAGCGCTGGTGAGCGTTCCTCCTGCTCTGCCTTCAGCCAGGCCACTAGGGAGAAAGGGCCAGTGCCAGGGAGCACACTGCCATGCTCTTCTGCTGCCTCCCCGTCTCTTTCTTGCCCTGTCTCCTAGGCTCGCCCCCTGCCCTCTCCCTCCCTCCTGGGCTGTCCAGATTGCTCCCAAAGCGATGTATCAGAGTGGCCAAGTGGGAGCTGGACTCCGGAGTGCACTCTGCTGGCTACAGCTTCAGTTGCCCTCACATGACCATGAATACTCAGAGGAGGGGCCTGTTTCTAATTCAACAAGGGGCCATCGAGGCCAGCCATAGCCCTAGAATCCTTCCGTCTCTGTTTCATCTGAAAAGCTCGCCAGCCTGTTTCAGCCTCCCAGATCAGTATACCCTAATTATAGAGAAAAACCCCAACTCACTGGAAGGAAAATCATTGTGCCCAGATGAGTGGAAGCTAATTCTACTTTTGTTTAATTTATCAATTTATTTGAGTGAGCATGTAGATGTTTGCAAGAGCCACTAAGGACTTAAAGTTAACAGGTACACATTTGAAAAAGGAGTACCACCAGACACTGAGTAGTCAGCAGCGCCTGTGCTGGGGGAGCCTTTCATTGTTGCAAGGGGTTCAAGGTCAAGGAGAGCCATGAGGTCGTGGAGTCTGGGGGCTTCATGCAGAAGGGTGGTCTTGACTGAGCTTTGAATCGGGGAGTTGGAGAGGCTGAAGGAGTTTTTTCAGCATCGTACAATCATCAGAGATGCTAGGAGTTGGGAGGAACCTTGTAGATATTCATGAACTACCCATGAAGCACTTACTTGTGTGCCAGGCACTGTGCTAGGTCCCAGGGACATAGGGGTCCCTGTGTTGGGCAAACAGGGAAGACCCCGACCCTCCTGGAGCTGACATATCAGTGGGGAGACAGGCAGCAGGCAAACCAACCAAAAAGGTGACATCACATGATGTGAAGATACTGAAATCAAGGATTGTGTTAGGGGATACTCAGGGGTCAGGCTGCTTTGACTGTGTGGTCAGCAAAGGCTTCTCTGAGGACACAGCGTTTGACTGGAGCCTGAATGATTCAAAGGAACTAGACACGGAATCAGAGCGAAGAGCTCTCCAGGTGGACAACCTGAGTGCAGAATCTCTCACGGGGAATGCACTGGCTGTGGGGACTCCAAAGAGGGCCAGTGTGCCTGAAGCAGAGAGAACCAAGGGATAGTGCCCTGAGCAGGAGGCTGGGGCAGGGCAGGAGGGCAGGGCAGAAGGTGCAGGGCCACACGGGAGACTGGGTCTGATCCAGTGCCCTGGAGGGCTGCCAGAACGTCTGAGCAGAGGAGGCCCTGACCTGATGTCTGACACACCCTTTCGGAGATTCCCTCTGGGTGCTGTGTGGATAAAGAGCCATGGCGGTCGAGAGCAGAACTGGGGCAGGGAGGACACTTGCGCGGTCTCCAGGCAGAGAAGATGGCAGCTTGGGCAGGGGATGGTGCTGCAGATGCAGAGAAGTGGTCAGACTCGGGGTACATTTTGCAGGTAGAACCAGCTGGATTCACTCATAGCTTAGATGTTGGAGAGAGACAAAGAGGAACGTAGGGTGACTCTGAGGTTTTCTAATTGAGCCAGTGAAGAGAAGATCCCCAATGCAGAAACTGTATCCACCCCCTGTGCTCCTTGTGCCCCAAGGCACTGCTCTGGGTGTCTGGCCCTTACCAACCAGGCACTCCCTTCAGCTGGTAGCAGGGACTCTTGTGCCCTGCTAGAAACTAAGCTCCTTGAGAACAAGAACCGTGGCTTTGAGTTCTCAGCCTTGGGCTCAATACTCTGTAGGCACCAGATCTTACAAATGTCTTTACTTTATGTGGCCAAGAGCAAAATCACAGAAGTGAAAAATGAGCATCAAATGGAGAGGGGCAAGGGCTGCCAAGGACCAAGGGCGGGGCTTTGAGTGCTATCCTGGTTTTACTTTGGAATCCTCTGACCTGCCGTCCAAAATGCAGCAGCAACTCCAGAGTGTGGCAGCGCCTCACTTCCCGTGCTTTTTCCAATCCTCCAAGAACAAAAATAAGAGAAGAAAGATCCCTAATGTATTCCACTGGCATTTGGGAGTAGAAGACTAGACGGTTCAGTTGCCAACACCAAAATGAGCTTTGCCTGACTTTTCCTGATCTCTCAGCCTCCCTCCGTATCCATAGTACCTGCTAAGCATCGCATGCTATTGAAGTTGTGTTCCTTTACAAATCGGAGTTTGTCCTTCAGAAATCGTTTCCCATTAAGCACTGTGCCTGACGTTCAGCTGCTCTGTGACTGAATGGACCAGCTAACTTGCTTCTCCCCAGGAATGCAGCTCAGCATGGAGCTTCATAAACAGGGAGGGAGCTCGTACAGATGGAAGAGCCTACACCATTTTCCATTAGGAGCTTCGAATGGCACAAAGCTATAGTAAATAGGGGTTTCTGTAAACATAAATGATTAAAATAAGCACAGAATTACCTGTTATCAAATTACCATAGAGAAGAAAGTGTTGGGTCATTTCGAGCAAAACTGAAAAGAATACAAACACCTAGGCAGGAATTTAAGATCCTTCTCAGTTAAATTTCACTTGAAATATCATGATTTAGGCCAATTCTGGTTTTACTTATTCGACTTTAATTAGAAGACTTTTCTTTTACATACCAAGGGTAGGGTGTCACAAGAACTCCAACTCTTGGCCTGTAGACAGTTTTTCATCTTGGACCTCTCTTCTGCTGAAAAAATATCAATTGTCTTGCTGGTCAGCTCTAATTACCCTAGGGAAAGAATCTGATTGATGCCTGTATGGTACTGGTCCTCCAAAAAAGCCTTGGGTCCCTAAATGCTTGAATGCTTTTTGGTTGATAAAGAATTGCTTTCTGTGCCAGGCATTTTTTCTTTGCAATACCTGGCTTTGTTTGAACCAGAAGAGGGAGAACATGCAGAGGCCCGGCTGCGTCCGTGAGACAAGCGTCCCATAACTATCTTGCTCCAGCCAGACTAGTATCCCCTTCACCTTCGTCTTATACAGAGTCCCCTTCCTTCTGAAGGGTGTGGAAGTTCAATCATCATCAAGAAATAAGGGCTTCTAGTGCCAGGCATAGCTTTTCTTTCCAGGGTTTCCAGCACACAGAGAGAAGGGACAGACATTTAAAATCAGTCATCAAGGCACTGGAGGCAGAGGTTCTGCTGGGATTCGTGGAAAGGTCATTCCCTGGAGCGCGAGTACTGAGGAAAGCTGGATGGAGGATGCTTTCTGGATTGGGGGTCCTTGTGTGCTCTGCAGAGAGGGAGATGAAGAGCAGCTCAGAGAGAGAGAGAGAGAGCATGAGGAAGGACGGAGCACACAGTGAACTTGTCAGCTCACTAGGGCTACCATAACCAGTGACCACACGCTGGGCAGCTTAAACAGCAGAATGCATCCTTTTATGGTTCTAGAGGCTGGAAGTCCAAAATCAAGGGGTCTGCAGGGTCAAGCACCTTCTGAAAGGCTCTCGGGAATAATCCTCACTTACCTCTCCTAACTTCTTGTGGTTGCCGGCAGTCCTTGGCTTGTAGATGCATCCCTCCAGTCTCTGCCTCTGTCTTCACATGGCCTTCTTCCCTAAGTGTGTTTTTGTGTCTCTGTGCCTGTCTTTATGAGGAGAACAGTTGTTAGATCTAGGGCCCATCCTAGCCCAGAATAACTTCATCATAACCAATTACATCTGCAAAGGCCATATTTCCAAATAAGGTCACATTGCAAAGTTCTAGGTAGGCATGAGTTTGCAGGGAAACTGTTCAACGCACTGTAGTGAAGTGTTCAGAAAATAGTTTCATGTGAGTGGACAGTTTGTTAGGGAATAATAGGTGGTAAGGATCTGACTGAGAAAGATGTTGAGCATTAATTTACAGGCTTTGAGTCTGTCCCATAGCGGCTGCTATGTGCCTGGCACCATTCTGAGGTATAGATGTACTGTTATTATTATTCCACCTTAGATGGAGAAACTGAGGCACAGAGAGACTCAGTAAAATGCCCACAGCTAGAAAAACAGAGCCAGGATTCTGATCCAGGCGACTGGCTGGAGAGTCTGCTCTTCACTCCCATGTTGTTACTTTCCCCTTCTGAGCGTCTTCAACACATTTGACCAGCACAGGATATGCAGTGCTTCCCCCCGTCAGCATTGTGCTTGCAAGCGCAGAAATAAGCTGCCTGACTTTCTTCCACAATAAATGTGGCCACTGGCAGGGAGAACAAAGGTGCTTCTTTAGTTGGTGTCAGTGTCTAAACCTTTGCATGAAGGGCCTGTTGTGGTCAGTAGCATTGCCCTGTTATCTCGACAGCACATGATTTTGTTGTCGTCGTCGTTTTGTTTTGTTTCAGAAATTGGGAAAGTGTTGGTTTTTAATTCCTGGAACTTCCAAGGGTGGGGTTATTTGCAAGGGATTCCACAAGCCAACTAAGCCATATCCTTTCCCCAACCTGCAGCCTAGATAGATGAGTAACACCTGGCAGTGCCCTGTCCTACCTGGTCACCTTTTCTCATACCTTACAACTAGGATGACCAACCACCCCAGTTTGCCCAGAACTAGGGGGTTTCCTGGGATGTGGGAATTTTAGTTTTAAAACCAGGACAAGTCGGTCACCCTACTTACAGTCCCCCTTATTGTGCACTGCCAGCTACGTCTTCTCCAACAGAGATGAGCTGCAGCAGCACCCACAGGGAGACGGCAGAATGTCTGTCTTGGTTGGTACCCTACATTTTCAGAGCCATAATCATGTCTGCCAGTAGGAAGGTCTCTGAAAGTGGTAAAATAAGTGGGAGTGCTGGAGTTATTTAGAATGGTGCTGTTCTTCTTACAGGAGAAGAGGATGAGGAGGAGCCAGAGATGCCTGTCGGCCCTCGCCCACGCCCACTCTCTGAGCTTCACCTTAAGGAAAAGGCAGTGCCCATGCCAGAAGCCAGCGCGTTTTTCATCTTCAGCTCTAACAACAGGTGTGCAGCGATGGTGGGGAAGGTGGGCTCCTGCTCTCTCTCGTACCAGCCTGGCCGTTTCCTGTGTTTTACCTGAACCTCTGGATGGAGCCTGAGGCTCTCCCAGCTCCCTGCAAATTGTATAAACAGACACTGATTTAGGAAACAGTCCTGGATTTTGAATCAGAAGGCTTGTGTTTATTTTTCTCTGCACTTTTTGGTTTGTTTTTTTTTTTTTTTTTTTTGGAGACGGAGTCTCACTCTGCCACCCAGCCTGGAGTGCAGTGGCGCAATCTTGGCTCACTGCAAGCTCCACCTCCCGGCGTTCAAGCCCATTCTCCTGCCTCAGGTTTCCCTCTCTCATGCTAAGTCCTGTGTATACAGTCTGTCCTCCTCACCACTTCAGTGCTCCTCCTATATTATTAATGTCTATATTTTTGTATATGAGATGTGGTCACTCATGTATGTCAGGGATGGGGTCTCGATCTCCATGACCTGTGTGATCTGCCTCTTGTCCTCGGGCTCCCAGAGTGCTGGATCAGGCTTTGTGTATGTCTATCCGCGGCTCTCTGTTCTTTCTCTTCCCCTTTCTTTTTGATATATTGTATAAAACTCTATCTTATCTTGGGTGATTTTATCTTCCTTGATAATTTACTAATTCTTTAATTAACTTAACAAATATGTGATGTTAAACTAATATAAGAATTCTTCTCTCCTGTATAATAGATTTGACTTAGTATTATTTTAACTCACTCATCTGCTCCTTACTTACATGGAGTTGTCATTAGTATCTTAGTCCAACTTTTATTTGTAAAAACCAACAAGTTAGTGAGTCTTATTATCATATTAGATAGTGTGAGTTTGGATATATGTACACCTTACCATTTTATTTTTCACCATTTTTTTATTCATTTCCGTCCATCCTTTAGCTAACATTTTCTTTCCTACTAAATACCATTCTTTAGAAGCTCCTTGAGTTCCATAAGGCAACATTTCACTTGGCCTCTGCTACCTATAACTGTTTTCCACTTCTTGCTCTTTGAAAGGATAGTTTTGTGTGAACATTATTTTTAGAAACATTTTTTGTCCTGCAGCACAAGAAAGGTGTTATTCCACTGTAAAGTCAGGTGTCATTCCAACTATGAGTTCTTTGTGAGTGACCTAACCTTTATTTGTAGCTGCTTTTAACATATTCTGTTGCCTTTGTGGTTGTACAGATTTACTACCATGTGTCAAGGTGTGGATTTCTTTCCATTCATCTTGCTTAGAATACATTCTGCTTCCTAAGCCTATGGATTTAGATTTTTATTTAGTTAATGAAAATGTACAGCCATAATGGTTAAATGTTACTTCTTTTTAATTCTATATTTCTTCCTTTTGACACTCCAATTGGACATCTGTTAGACTTTTTCATTCTGTTCTCCCTATTTCTTAGAGGGCCTTACATATCTTTCATCTCCTTGTCTTTCTGTATTCTGGGAGATTTCTTCAGCTGTATCTTCCAGTTTCTTAATTCTATTTTCAACTTAATCTATATTACTATCTAAACCAATTTTTTATCTTGACCATTATATGTTTTTGTTTTAGTTGGTTCCATTTGTTGCTTGATTTTCCAGATTCATCTCTCTAAATCTAGTAGTTTCTATCGATGCCTCATCTTTGTGATTTAGTCCTTTATTTCATTAAATGTTTCAAATATAGTTGTTTTGTAGTCTATGTCTAGTATTTCCAATACCCCCAGTCTTTGGAATCTAAATCACTTATCCGGTGTTTCTTCAGATTTCCCATCTTAGTGGCTTGTCCTTTGGTGCATCCGATGATCTTTGATTGTGACCCCAACACTTCTTCTTCATTTGTGAGAGTCCTGAGGACTAAAGTAGGTCTGGGGAGGCTTTCTTCCAGATGCCCCTTGGAGGTGTTGGCTCAGGCTTTCCTGCCCCATGTCAAGACTGGCTTAACCTGCAATTTCTTGACAGCACTGCTGTTATTGGCTTCCATCCTCAAGCAATTCTGCCTTCCTGGCTGGCTCTCTCTCCATACATAGCCTCAGCTCAATGGAGGTTGGTGGGAGGGGTTGTTGGTTTGAAGCAGATGATTCTTACAGCCATCTCCTAACTCTCATAAACCAGAATTGTCTCAGAGAGCTTGGCCCCTCGAGGGTTTGGTGCTTCTGCAGCAGGAGGGCTTCTCAGAGCATTTAGTCAACCATAATGCCAGGAGCAGAAGTCTGAAGGCCTGGGTTGAAGCCCTGACTCCCCAACACTAAGGCTATGTTTCTGGGCAAGCTTCTCCTACTTGGGTTTCAGTGTTCTTACCTGTGAAATAAAGATGATGACACTCATCCCCTCCTTCCTACATTGTTGTCAAGACGAGATGGTGTACAAGACACTTTCACATTTGGGAACCTAGCATTTTTGGTACTATCACTGAGTGCCTAGAAGCTCAGTTGGGTAATTGTGCTGGGGCGTGGAAGTGAATTGTACATGTAAAGCTCTTACACAGGAGCAGATCACCTACAGAAAGCCGGCTTGGCCGGCTCCTCAGCATACCCAGCTCTGGGCAGTCCTATTGTTCCCTGTGCATTAGCATAGAGCAGATCTCATAAAGTGATTTCTTTTCAATGATAGGGAAAATAAGTCCCCAAACAAAAGCCAGTTATGAATGTCAGAGCAGGATTTGGGAATTCAGAGATTCTCAAAGGTCTCAGATGTAACCTTCTAAAATATCAAAGATGATATCTGCACCATGGGGGTGAGAGGTTGTCATTACCAAGCGGCAGTAAGACTTCAAAATGAAGAGGTCACTTGAAGCCAACAAGCACCTGTTGCCAGCTGCTGGGAAGAGCTGAGGGGACGGGCTCCCAAGAGCCGACTGCTGCTTCCCCTTGTCTGCCTTGACTTGTCTCTCCTTCTGTCCCCCTCCCATATAGGTTTCGCCTCCAGTGCCACCGCATTGTCAACGACACGATCTTCACCAACCTGATCCTCTTCTTCATTCTGCTCAGCAGCATTTCCCTGGCTGCTGAGGACCCGGTCCAGCACACCTCCTTCAGGAACCACGTATGCATTGCCTGTGTCCTCTGCACTCCTTCCCACTGGGGCTGTGCCAGGCCCACAGCTTCTGTTGCTGACATCATTGTTCAATCCGGAGCCCAATTCTAGATGTCATAATCAGATCCACAACTGACATTTCATTAAGAGAGTAGGACTTTGATAGAAAACCACCCTAGGACCACAAACAAGTAAGAGAGCATGCACCCAAATGCTCAGGCTGGCTTGATCATTGGCAAAGGGTAGGACTTCCATTGCCTGTGGATGTTCCCCAGGAAGCTCTAGTTCCCTGCAAACTTGGTAAAATGTGGCCACTGACTACATGCCCTCCCTTGCTCCCAGCGTACTCTGACCAGAAGGGGAGCATTGGCAAATAGGTGCCAATGATGAGGCTGACCTTACCTAAAAGAGAGTCTTGGTACCTTCAGTAGAGTAGACCAAATGTGAGGACCCACCCAAGGCTCTGTTGAACAACGTTAAAGGCCAGTTTAAGAATTGCTGTATTTCAAAACCTCAAAACTTTGTCAAGTCCAACCAAGTGGGCATGAGGACAGCCCACTGATCTAAAGCCATACCCATGCCAAACTACTCTGCACTCCTGGGGCCTGCTTGGTCCCGGGCTGTCTTGGTGAGGTTAGCAGGTGTTGGCCCCACCCCTGATCCATCACCTGAAATAGAATAAGTATGCAGTCCTGCAGCTGGTCCTCAGCCTGTGCAGACCTCACCTGGAGGATGCACCTCCCTTGCCCCAGACGACATAACCCAGGAGTAGATTTCTACCAATACAGGAAGCTCGCCAGCTCAGTCCCACCCGCATGAGCGAAGCATTTTTAATCTCCCTGCAAAAAGACAAACCCCATTCTCTGTCCTTTTGACAAGCATCTCAGTGGTCCGATTTGGGTTTGTAAGTAAATTGGATTAATGGGAAAGGCATCCAACCAGATGCTGCTCAGATCCAGTACCAGCTGAGGCCAGCCCTGGAAGCTCACCTCACTTATCTGGGGGCTTCAAGGGAAGCCGCTGTGCTGCCTGAGGCTAGCCCCACCTCAGGATCGCTGTGTGCGTGCTGCTCGCCCCCCCATTTCCATCTGTGTCTCTGTGCAAAGGCTCAAGTGCCATGCCTCTCATTTTGAAGTGTGGCCCCTTTTCTGGTGAACATCCACTGACCTCTCTTCCCATCCTGCTTTTCTCCCTTCCCCATCCCATCCTCACCCTGTTCCTTTTTGTTTTGCAGATTCTGTTTTATTTTGATATTGTTTTTACCACCATTTTCACCATTGAAATTGCTCTGAAGGTAAAGCCCCCATCCCCCTCTGCTCCTCCTGTCCCCCTTGTGCCAGCACCAGGTCTCTGCCGCTGTCTGTCGCTAACACACATGCTCCTTCCTGTTGGTGTCGGGTTCACTCTCAGAGCCACTAATCCAATTATGCTTATTTTTCAGATCCTAGGCAATGCAGACTATGTCTTCACTAGTATCTTTACATTAGAAATTATCCTTAAGGTAATGCAACCTGGGCAATGCATCCTCTGTCGCTTTCTTTGTGTATCTCTGCTCTGTCTGGCTGGCTCTTTTCTCTCTTCTGTTTCTTTCACTCTCTCTTTTTTTTACTCCCAAGCCTGAAATCGGAAAAATGAGTGCCCCTCACTTTGTGTGATGCACTTTGCCCAGACTCAGAAGCCAGGAGCAGCCTACCCCACTGCAGCCCCTCCCTCCAGCCACCCCTAAGCAGTCCGTGCCCTGGAAGGGACACGTGTTGGCTGTGCCAACATTAAGGCTGCCATTTCACTGGTTTGGGCTGCAGCCGTCAGCAGCGCCAGACATACATGCCCACACGCACCAGCTCTGGTTAATTGATACCTGAGTCCACGTAGGACTCTCCTTCCCTCCTCCTGCTCCATACACTCTGAAAGTGGGAAACCTCCTGGGACATGAAAGAATCACTTCGGCTGCTCGCTTTGGATGCCCGTCCTTAGCACCGTCCTCTGTACTTGCAGCAGACATTGGGTCTAAGCTGGGGTTGGGGCACGTAACAGTGATCACAGGCCTGCTGTGAGATGTGGAGCTGGTCTCCGAGCTGAGGGCTTTCAGCAGGTAGCTATAGACTACTGTCAACCCCTCAGTCACCTGCTGCAAAGCTTTGTCACAGTGCCCCTTGCGCTGAGCGTGGGGGAGGGAGGACTGTGCTGGAGAGCTGAGTACAGCGGGGTGAGAGCAGGTACTGCAAGGAACCTGAGCACCCAGCCCCCAGCCCCCAGCCCTCGCCTGCTGCTGGCCCAGCTCAGTTCTGCTAAGGGAACTGCTACAACATTGCTACTCTCAGAACAGGCAGAGCCCACCACAGAGCAACACTGGGATGAGAGAGAGTGTGCCTCCATTTTTCCGGTATATTTCTGAGTCTCTAAACCAATGCATGGCCAAGCCAGTTCATCTGAGAGTCAAGGTGTGAGTTCCATGGCCTCAGGGAACGTGTGCTCCTCTCTGAGCAAGGGGGTAGATTCTACCCTTTCCCCAAACAGAAGGACTAAGGCTCTGAAGTCCATGCTTCAGCTTTAGCTTCTTCCTGGGAGACTAGGCTGGGACTCCCCCTCCCAAGGAGTCCAGAATCCCTTGTCATCCTATCGCTGTGGCCAGTGCAAGCTGAAGTCCACACCTGACCGATGCCACTGCCAGCTGCAGACCTTCCTTCCCTGATGAGACTCCCTCATCATGGCCCAGCCTGTTGATGGATATGACAGTTCAGTCACATCCAAATACAAATTGAATGGGGCAGTTTTTGTGTGCCTTCCCCTGTGTCCTTGTCCCCACGATACTCAGGTGTCCCCAGTTTCCATCCCTGGTTCCCGCTAGCCAAGTATGTGGCTCAGATTTTTCTTTTCTGCTCATGGAGAGTAGATCTGACCAGGCTCTGGCTCCCGGAGGTCGGGAGAGGGAACCGAAAGTTGTGTGGCTGCACTAAGGTGCGCTGCGGCAAAACCTCTTTTCCATGGTGAGCTGCTTTGATTCCTGGACTTCAGATGCAGGGAGGCACACAGACACCAGAGGTCTTTCCTAGGACAAGAGAAGCTCTGAGGTCCGATTCTCAGTGCCCTTCTCCAGAGCTGCCCTTGTGGATTTCAATGGTGCTATTTCCCCTTCGGGATTGCCATACAAGCCAAAGTGAAGGGTCTCTTTGCAACCATTGTCATGGCAAGGTCCTTCCCTCCCCTCCATCCCCTCCCTCTTCTACTCTCTTCTGTGCTCAGCATGCTTCTCGATAGACACCCCGATGCCAGAACACTTCCCTGTACCTCCTACCCACTGGGTCCCTCTTCCTGGCCTAAGGCCCAGTGTCATGTCGTGGCACAGATGACCGTGGCTGTCCAAGGGGGACATTTAGCACAAGGAGCAGTGGAGGGGCCTGGAGATGTTTGGCCTTAAAAAGGAAAGGCTTGTAGGCCCACAACAGTTGCTGAGTAATATAATGGACTGTCACATAGAAGAGGAAGAAGGTAGAATCAGGACCCATGAGTAGAAATCACATTAAAAAGACAGGTTTCCTAACTAGGAGAGCTGCCTGGAGAGGCAGGGATGGCCCATGGTTGAACAGAGAGCTTTCCCACCCTTCCAGGCAGAGCCAGCGAGCCACGTCCCATTCCTTTCCTTCCTCAGGATAGAAGCACCCCAGCAAGGGCCGCTTCCCAAGTAATGGTGTAGAAGTAGGCAAGCAGGACCCAGGTGGCTGGCAATCGGAAAAACAGGGTCAAAGAGGGACAATTCACACTGGGTACCTGAGCCTGGCTTTTCCTGATGCCCTGAATGGCACAGATGACTCTCAAGTGAATGCTCTGTTTTCCCCACGTCTGTTTGCCCTTTCTTGTACAGCCACTCTTCCTCTGGCCCTGGGTGCACACTCCCACCGCCCCCATATGCACACACATGCACTTGCTCAAGTGTTGGTCTCATTTGAGGGTCCCCAGACGAAACAGGAGCCCAAAACCAGAGGACAGAGTCGGCCCTCTGAGCCTCGTTAGTCCCCCCCTCTGAGGAATGCTTTCCCCAAGCACAGAGGGTTCTGTCAGAGTTCAGTAGTAGCCTCGGAAGATCCAAGCCCGGAGCAAGAAGGAATCGGACCTGGTGCCTTCCTAACACTAAAAGCGAGGTGGCTGGGGAAGTACTGGGCTTTCTGCAGGCACAGAGGGCTCTTCAGTTAATGTGAACTATGGGAGCCTCCTGAGTCCAGTCTCTGGGGGTCCCAGGTCTTCACTGAGAGGCAGAGAAGCAAGCCTTCCAGACGGTGGGCCTTCTGGCACTATACTCCCTTGCATCTTTTATATAATCTACCCACTTCTAAAAATCATTGCCCAACACAGGTGCCTGAGTCCTGTGGGACCCCCTGCTGCAAGAGATAAATGGAAAGAATTAGGTTGCAAGAGCTATTTTTGCCCAGTTCCCCCTGTGTTTGCTTTTGAATGGCTCTGCGGACACTCTGCCCTGGGCACGCTCTGATTCCAAAGAGATTAACTGGGCCCCAGATGACCAGGGAGCCTCGCTCCCCTCCTCCACCGTCAGTTCCACATTTTTCCCTTTGGCCGATGCTTCCTGTCTGCTGCCTGTCACCGCCCTTATCCTGGATAACCACGGGCCCTTATGCAAGTCGGCAAAATGAGAAAGGCTGTAAAGGCGATTTGTTGAGCGCCTGCAGTGCACAGCTTTACACCAGGCTCAGAGGGTGGTAATAATGGCCAAGTCCTGTAACAGTCATCATCATCTTGTGTGTTCTCTTTTAAAAAGTTTCCAAAGGGCTTTCACAAAGCCAGGGGATAGTTTCCTCACTTGATGATGAGAGAACAGAACTTTCCTCATCCAGGAAGCATCCCGAATACAAATCCAGGCTGCAGTGACAGCTCAGCCTTTTATGGGGCTCACTGTGTGCAGGGTGGGTCCTAAGTATTTTACACAGAAGTACCCGCTTGATGCTTACAACCCTGTAGGGTGGGTCGTATCCTCGTTTTCCAATGAGGAAACAGAGGCACTAAGGGAAGTTGAGTTTCTTGCTCCAGGCCACACAAATAAAATACCATGGGGCCGGGATTCCAGCCCAGGCCGCCTGGCCTCAGAGCCTGTGCTCTTAGCCACGGAGCCTTGTAGCCCCTCTGATCACACAGTTTTTTGCCCTTAAAAAACTCCAGATGCAGTCTCGAAGCAAGACAGGAGAATTGAGTTTAGAATAGTTGGCATCAATCGTCAGCACCCTTTGAGGCCAGGAAGGGAAGGTATGCTAATTGCCAGAGTCACCACTGGAACTTCTCACCAGGCACCAGGGTAACCAGCTGGCCTAGTTTGCTTCAGACTGAGGAGTTTCCTGGGATACAGGATTTCTGGTGATAAAGCAAACCTGGGCAAACCAGGATGGCTGGTCACCCTCCTGGGCATGCCCCTCCGCCCCCGCCCCACTCCCTGCAGATGCCTGGTGCTCTCAGCTGGCCTAAGGACTCAAGCATTCAGAGAAGCAGTTGGGACGTGTGCTCCCAGCCCGAGAGCATCAGGAAAGGACCCTGCAGGCCCGAAGCCATGGACTTGGGATGTGGAACAGTGGGAAATTAGAATGGGATGGTGGGGCCCATGTGAAAAGGCTTTGAATGTAGGACTAAAGAGCCTGGCGTGGCCTGGCAGGTGCAAGGAGCCACCCAGAAGTCCTGGGCTGGGAGATTCTTGGGTGATAGTGTGCATGGTAGCAGAGCTCTTTTCTTGGCACCATATTGCCGTCTTTGTCCTTCCTGTTCCCCGTGGATGGTGCTTGGGACTTGCCCAAGGAATGCTGTGGGAGGAAGGGGTGGTGTGGTCTCTGGGCTCGGGCTAGGGCCACTCACGCTGGTGTTTCTCTGTCCCTCCCTGCAGATGACTGCTTACGGGGCTTTTCTGCACAAGGGCTCCTTCTGCCGGAACTACTTCAACATCCTGGACCTGCTGGTGGTCAGCGTGTCCCTCATCTCCTTTGGCATCCAGTGAGTGGACCCCCTCAGCCCACGACGGGCCATGCCGCTAGCAAGGGGTGCCAGAGAGGACAACCAAACCCTGGAGGGCCGGCCTGCAGGGCCACCGAAGTGTGATGAGAGCGGGGTGGGGCCTCCGAAGTGTGATGAGAGTGGGGTGGGGCCTCCGAAGCTGTGCATGGCGGCTTTGAGTTCTTGGATCCGTGTCCTCGGTGGTCTGACACTTGGGGCATGTTGATCAGGCGCGAATATGTTTAAATACCTGGGTTTTGCCATGACAGGCGGGGCCAGGCTCAGCTATTGAGAAACGGTTGTCCCCAGGACCTTCCTGCCTCCTCCACCACGGCCCCAGTGCCCTAGGCTGACCTTCAGCAACCCATAGTCTGCCACTGCCATGGCCTCTCCTGACCTGGACCCTCCTCCCTTTCTCTCCCCTCTCTCTCCAGCCAAAGCACCTCATGTATGAGTGTATGTGTGAATGTGTATATATATGTCTGTGTAAGTGTGGGGTGTATGTGTGCATGTGTGTGTATGTGTGGGGTGTGTGTATATGTGTATGTGTTTGTGGATGTATGTATGTGTGTATGTATGTACTTGTATGCATGTGTTTGTGTGTTTGTGTCTGCATATGTGTCTATATGGGTGTGTATGTGGTTGTATATGTGGATGTATGTGCGTGTGTGTGTGTGTGACTGTATATTTGTGTCTTGTGTGTGTGCGCGTGTGTGTGTATGTGTGTGTGAATGTGTGTGTGTTTCATTTCACTGGGCTGGGGTACAGTCTGGGTGTGAGTTCTCAGAGCTCTCCAGGTGACTCCCCTGTACAGCCAAGGTTGCAGACCTCGTTCAGGTGTGGAGGATCTGATTACTAGTTTCTACCAAGTTCTAACAGCTGATAGTGTGAATCCTACACTTTAACTTTCAAAGCACTTCCACATACACGTTCTTCTATGGTCCTCACACACACACAACGATGGGGGAGACAGGGCAAGTGTTATTATCATCATTGTATAGATGGGAAATTTGGGGTTCAGGACATCATGACACTTGCTCAAGGTCGCACCTATGGTAGAGAAAGGCGTAAGTCCCACGGTTCCTAGATCTCTCCTCCCAAGCGTGTTTCCATGGTCGGCTGAGATCATGCAGGGACCAGGGCCTTGGGAGAGACCCTTGTCTGTGATCATCAATTATATTACCCCGTATTTTCTGCCTGGGAGCCTACAAGTCTAGATTTGAATCCCAGCGTGGCCACTCAATCACTATTTAACCTTGAACGAGGAATTCTTCCTCTTCAGCCTGTGTGTTTCCCATCTGACCTTTAAACCCCTCCCGTTGTAATTCAGTGCAAGCTGACTCCCTCCCAGAGAGACTGTAGGAGAGACACGGTGATAGACAGGAGTGGCCTTTGCATCTCTTGGAATAAAAGAGCTATGCACCAGAGAAATCGGATCTTTCCACCAGCCCCTTCTTGAGCACATCATCCTGACCACACAAAGCATGAAATCAGCACTTGCTGGCCTGCCATTCATTGTTTAGGTCCCAAGGCAAGTATGAGGCTCTCTAAAAGCTTGAGAGGCTGTCTGAGGTAGTTAGCCCGTGAGAGTTAGGATGTACTCCACGGCTGCTCACCGAGGTGGTATGGTTAATAAGCCCCAACTGGGTAGAATGGACAGCTCCAAAAACCATCCAGGCATCTTGCTCAGGGGCCTGTCTCCTGCTGTCTCCATCGCACTGGGGAAAAGCGGTATCCTGAGACTCCAAGAAGCTCTGGCTTGGCCTCAGTATCCCAGGAGTATGGAACCTGTAGTGCGGTGTAGGAGCCAAAGGGCCTTCTGAAGGGTCACTGAAAAATCAACTGACAAAAGAAAGGTTAATTGGAGAAAAAGCATACAAATGTATTTAAAATGTGCAACCCAGAGCCTTCAGAATGCAGACCCAAATATACAGGGGAAATTGTCCATTTTTATGCTTCGGTTCCAAAAAAGTATGGACAGCCATGTAGAAATGTGACTGGACAAGAAGGGTAGGATCTAACGTGAATGGACTGAGTGGGGAACCCAGCAAGGCCGTCTCTAGGTTCTTCGCCTCTCTGTGAAGCATTCCTTCCTTCTGGGCTGGGGACAGGATCCTGTCTGCAATAGGAGTCTTAGGATCTACACTCCCACGTGGTAGACCTGAGGATTTTTTATGGCCAGTTTTTATACAGAAAAGCAGAGGGAAAATTTGAGTAATATTTTTAGGTTGTGTGGCTGGCTTTGAGGAAATGAGGTTCTGGGTTCTGGCTTCTTGACCCGTCTTGGAGAAGAGGGATTCTAGTGTCTATGGCTAGCCTCGGAGGAGAAGGGGACTGAGACAGGAGGGCAAGAGAAGTTTAGAGAAAAACTTGTGCTTCCGAGACTGCTTCTAAGGCAGTCGTTTCGGGGTGGTGTTTCCTGAGCCCCAACAGTAAAGCCCACCCTTCCTTGGAGTCCTGAGTGTGCTCTGGGTGGGTTTTAGGTGTAGGTGCCAGGGGCAGCTGTCTAGGGTATGTGTTTGGAGATAAACACTACGAAATCTCCTCCCCATGCCCATCACCTCCAGCCACAAGGCCTGAGATTCCACCATTAGTACGGCATTCCTTTAAGTGTAATGCTGTCTTCAGCAGGCATCATGATAAAAGAAACCATTTAGGCAGTTTATCAAGCACCACGGCCAGGTGATTTACATGGAACTCTTACATAACCCTTGCAAAGACCTTCTGAGCTGATTACAGACCCATTTTACAGATAAAGAAACTAGAGCTCAGAAAATTGAGGAAATTTGTCCTCAGTGCCTTGGCTAGCAAGTGCCTGTGCTGGGCTCTGAATTCCCATGGCCTCGCTCTGGATTTCTTCTGTGACACTGTGGGTGCCCCTGGAAGTAGCACAGTACATTGCTAATGACCTGCGTTGAGCCACTTTGCGTATTATTTATTCACCCACAGGAAAGCCCCAGGGTTATAGGCAAGCTCCAGGCTCTCACCACGGGGTGGGAGACAGGAGTAGAGAGTGGTCCCAGAATGCAAACATCCCCAAGATGAGCTTTACGTTTTCTCAGGTTTGCCTGGGATTCACCTGTCAGGACACTCCCTTACCACATTATTTTTGCTCCCCCTAGAAACAGGAGGAGCTTACTACCCTGCCTGTTTCCCTCTCCCAGGTCTAGTGCAATCAATGTCGTGAAGATCTTGCGAGTCCTGCGAGTACTCAGGCCCCTGAGGGCTATCAACAGGGCCAAAGGGCTAAAGGTAAGTTGAGGGCATGGGTAGGGAGGCTCCGGCCAGCCCACTGGGGAGTGGGAGCTCCACAGAGGTGAGGGGTGGGTTGGAAGGAGGAGATGATGGTCAGGCCAAGTGGCTGCCATGTGGGGTCCTGGACACTGGTACCACTGCATGTCCCGGATCCGTAAGAAGAGTAACAGAGGCAGTCATCCAAAGTGTCTTCCCTAAGCAGAACATGCCAAAGGGAGATCGCATGAAAACCCTGGGCCCCTGCGGTGCCGCCATCCCTATATTCCTTCCACTGTAAGATGAGAGGTTAGCAGGGCTTTTGTCCTTGTAGTCACAGAGAGCCCAGTGGGGGCCTTTGCATCCCATTAGGGTCTATCACTTCCCATGTGACTCTCGGAGCGTGGCTTTGCCCCTCTCAGCCCAGTGACTCCCGCTTGTGGCAAACGGGCTGCCCCTGCTACGTCCTGGAAAGGCTCCTGGCATCTCCTGAAGCCACGTCTCTCTCCCTGTCCCTTCCCACTGCAGCATGTGGTTCAGTGTGTGTTTGTCGCCATTCGGACCATCGGGAACATCGTGATTGTCACCACCCTGCTGCAGTTCATGTTCGCCTGCATCGGGGTCCAGCTCTTCAAGGTAAAGTCTGGGCTCCGCTGTGGTCCTGCTTCCTCCGTTCCCATCAGCATTCCCGGGTAAGGGAGCTGGCAGATACTGGACGAACAAGACAGTGGCCCGGGCCAGACTTGGCCTGTATGTAACCTCCACCTGCAGCCCAACTCCAGCTTCAGACCAGGGGAGGGAGGCGCTAGAAGGAGGTATCGGGCCACTAGGCCAGAGGCCCCTCACCCTCTCCACTTCACCTGCCCTTCAGGTGACTGCCCTTCCTTCTAGAAAGAGAGGGAGAGGGACTTGCATCCTGTGGAAGCTCTGTGTCAGTCACTTGCTTAAAGCCTGCAGCAGTGACCTATTACCAACAGCATCATGTCCCTGCTACACCACCCAGCTTTCAGAGCCCCGCACCTGTCAAAGTCAGCTCCCGCTGCTTCCTGCAGCACCCCTCGGCTACAACGAGGCCAGTGCCCTCCTTGGATTCTGGTCTTTTTTGTCCTCACCCTTTTAGTTCTGCTTTTCTCCCACCTAGAGCATTCTCCCCTGCCACCACCCCCACTGTGTAAACTCCCATCTAATTCATCCCTCTGAGTCCAGCTCCACTTCTCCCTCCCTGGCGAGACCTTCCTGGAGAGTACAGCTCCCATGCACCCGAGCTCCCGTTTTTGCATTGCAGGGCTACTTACAGCACTGGTGTCTGTATTCACCACTGTTTTGTGCATGTGAGTCAGGCCCTGTGCATCTGGATTCTGCACTTTTGTGTTTTGTTTTGTTTTGTTTTGTTTTGTTTTGTTTTGATACGAAGTCTCACTCTGTCGCCCAGGCTGGAGTGCAGTGGCACGATCTCAGCTCACAGCAAGCTCTTCCTCCCGGGTTCACGCCATTGTCCTGCCTCAGCCTCTTGAGTAGCTGGGACTACAGGCGCCCGCCACCATGCCCGGCCAATTTTTTGTGTTTTTAATAGAGACAGGGTTTCACCATTCACAGGATGGTCTCCATCTCCTGACCTTGTGATCCGCCCGCCTCAGCCTCCCAAAGTGCTGGGATTACAGGTGTGAGCCACCGCACCTGGCCGGATTCTACGCTTTTTGTCCCTAGCGCAGTGCTGGGCTATGGAGGTGCTCACTAATTGTTTTTGGATTGACTCATTGATTACTGAACATCTCTAATACTCTGTTCTTTGCCTTCCAGGGAAAGCTGTACACCTGTTCAGACAGTTCCAAGCAGACAGAGGCAGAATGCAAGTGAGTGGAGGTGGGAGGGCAGCCAGGGCCACGGCCAGTCAGCCCCAGGAGGCTGGAGGCTTGACCAGAAAGGAGGGACAGCTCAGTTTCTAAGACCGCAGTGGCACCTGGACTTTTGCCTATGTGTAATCTGGCCCTGCTGACACAATGTGTAGCATTTTTTCTTCCTGAAGTTTCTACCCACTGAAGTTCCTCCCATGGCTGGAACTGTGAAGGTCAAGCCAGGCAGTCCCATCCCACCCAGCATTCAGGGTGACTGGCAGGCGTGAGGGAAGATGGGAGACCCCAGAGTAAACTGCTTCTCCTTTCTCAGGGGCAACTACATCACGTACAAAGACGGGGAGGTTGACCACCCCATCATCCAACCCCGCAGCTGGGAGAACAGCAAGTTTGACTTTGACAATGTTCTGGCCGCCATGATGGCCCTCTTCACCGTCTCCACCTTCGAAGGGTGGCCAGAGTGAGTATGCAAACCAAGGCCTCATGAACCCTGACCTTTGAGGGCCAGCACTGACTTTCCAGCGCAAACCCAAGTTTTGTTCATGTCCCGCACTCCTTCTGGAGGTCATGTTTACCTGGGTCCTCCCCAAGCAGTGAGGTATCTTTCTAGAACAACTTACAGTCCACTGTCACTGCTGAAACACAGACTCTTCCTTCTCTAGAAGGTGTCAAGAAACTCCCACCAAAAATGACCTTTTTTTAAGTCTTCTTTCCAACCTCAGCATGAGCCACAATATCAGAGGTCTCTGTCATTACCCTTATGGCATCTGGGAGTTGGGTGTGGGGAGAGCTTTTCCAGGTGCAGGCCCTGTGGTCACCATAGAATTCAAAATTACCACTCCCAGCGTGCCCTTCATTGGGGTAAAGATGGCTGAGATATCTTTATTAACTGGACCCCGGTCTCCTTAGGAAAAGCCTTGCCTGTATTTACAGAGGATAGTGAGAAAGGGATGGAGGCCTGGGCCCCACGTCCTCTGCTGAGGCAATGCGTTTGTGCCTAGAGCAGCCCATGGCCCTTGCACACTGTGTCACCTCTACCAAGCACCTTCCCATCAGGTCGTTATATCTTTGTATAGACACCTGTTTTTCTCCCAATGTGTATTCCAGTGAAATTAGAATCTGAAAGTCAGAAAATTCTAAATGTTTCTAAGTCAACAGCAATGCGTGGATCTTAGGTGAGAGTCATCATTATTATGCGGTAAAATATAGGTGATAGAGAATAACCAAGTGCTGTGCAGGGCTACGGAGGAAGGCAAAGAGATAATCCCTGTCCGTGAAGAATAACAAGCTCCATGGGGCATACAGCCAGGCTCAAATGAATGGCATATGTATGTAAACTGCTTAAGTCTAAAACCAGACCATTGGTAATGATCGGAGTAGCATGGGTCATGTGAGTGTTTTCATCTAAGTGGATATTTGCTCTCGGAGAGATTTATTTTACATTCCCTCTAACATCCTCTGAGTCCATGCCAGTTTGCAAAGCTGTCTCAATATTTACCAGTATTTCCAGTATTTGAAATCAATGCCCATGGCTCATGTTACATTTAAATAGCTCTTCACAGTTTCAAAACACCTTCCTATACATTATTCTAACTTCCCTGCAACGTAGGAAAGTCGGGAATTATTGTCTCCAATTTACAGATGAAGAATCTGAGTCTCAGAGAGGTTAAGAGCTTTGCCCAAGGTCACACAGCCAGTAAGTGGCCGAGCTGGGACTCCAGCCCAGAGCTGTCTCCCGCACCCTGATCCCTGGGATCCCTGGAGCAGTGGTGCCATCCTTCCGCAGAGGGGACCCTGCTTCTCCAGTTCCCTCTGTGGGACCTGTCTCCTCCTGCAGGCTGCTGTACCGCTCCATCGACTCCCACACCGAAGACAAGGGTCCCATCTACAATTACCGCGTGGAGATCTCCATCTTCTTCATCATCTACATCATCATCATCGCCTTCTTCATGATGAACATCTTCGTGGGCTTCGTCATCGTCACCTTCCAGGAGCAGGGGGAGCAGGAGTACAAGAACTGTGAGCTGGACAAGAACCAGGTAGCTTCCTAGGAAGGAGCGGAGGGAAGCGGGGCCCGTGGAGGGAATGGCCGCCTGCGCCCACCCCGCAGAGGAGCTGCATCAGGGAGAGGCCATGCAGATACTGAGATCGTCTCTGCTTCTCAACCAGAGTGGGCTCTCGGTCTTTTTGAGGGACCTGTGCAAAAGAAATGCATATTTCCGCAAACCCCAGATCTGGCAAATGTGCTCAGCTGACTAATATCTATGAAACTTCTACTTAAGGATACTCTGAAAGGTTTTGTCAAAAAAAAAAAAAATCTCATGCCCTATCTAGAAGTTAACAAGTTACAAGGACCCAATTGGGTCGGCACCATTGATACGGAGGAGAGAAACTAGAACTGTGAGGGAGTGAGGGCTTTTGGGGTGGGGAACAGGATGGCTTCAGGAAACCACTCTTACATGGTTTCTTAAGTAAAACCCAGAGGACTCTGTGGGAGGTGGGGGCAGGAAAGAGGCTTAAGTGGGAGTGAGATGGCGATGCCAAGTATCGTGACAGGTTCTGGTAGCCGTGGAGAGCTGGCAGTGCCGTGGCTGAGTCAGGAAGCTGTTAGGGTGGGAGGTAGGTGTAGTGCCTCAGGTCTGTTCCCCAGCTTGGCTCCCACTGGGAGGAGTCTGTGGGGAAGCACATCCCTGTCTGTGAATACGGAGTGCCCACGGGAAGGAACGCAGCATGGTGTGCCCCTTGTGACCCTCATCAGGCCAGCCAATCCCCTGTGGGTCTTCAAGTCTACATCTCAGGCATAGACTCACTCTGCTGGCTGCTGCGTGGACCCTGGATTGAAAGTAGACAGGAAAGAGGGGAGGCCAGTTAGAAAGTGGAAATGAGAGAGGATTAGACCCCGATCTAATATCAGGTTAACGATGGTAGCGATGGAAAGAATAGGAGGAGGTAAAAGCGTTAAGGCTCAGGCATTGGACAGCAGGGCTGAGGGTTTGAGAAGAGGCCGGGGAGATTCCCCAGTTCCTGATCTGGAAGCCTGGGCAAAGTGCAGAGAAAGGGACTGGCTCTTTGCCAGAGTCCCAAGAATCTAGTTAGCCCAGAATCTTCTTCCCTGTCAGTGAACTGTGTTTTTCCATCTTATGGACACTGGCAAATAAGAAAGATTGATTTAGTTGGCCAGGCTCAGTGGCTCATGCCTATAATACTAGCACTTTGGGAGGCCAAGGTGGGTGGATCACTTGAGGCCAGGAGTTTGAGAACAGCCTGACCAACATGGCAAAACCCCATCTCTACTAAAAATACAAAAAATTAGCTGGACATGGTGGCACATGCCTGTAATCACAGCTACTTGGGAGGCTGAGGCAGGAGAATCACTTGAGCCTGGGAGACAGAGGTTGCAGTGAGCCGAGATCATACCACTGCACTCCAGCCTGCTGGATTTAGGACAAGAAAGAAAAACTGAGGAGAGAAGTACCCAAGGAAGGTCTGTGGCATGGGACGTAATCAGTGAGAAGCCCACCTGTCAGTGGGTCAGCAAGCACATTCTTAGCGATGCCGACTCCCTGCTGAGGCACACGAAGGCATCACCAGGCGGAGGAAAGGAGATGTATGGTCCCTGCCTAGGACCTTGATACAGGGATTTGACAAGAAGGGGCTCTCTCCTTGATTAAGGGGGCCATGGAAAAATCGAGACATTTTCCAAATAACATCTCCCACCTGTAAGTGAGCCAGAGCAGCCAATGATTTCTCTGACTTCTGGAGAACCCCACCCCACAGGGTTTCATTCACATCCCACACCTCTCTGCCAGCTCCCCCCACACCCTCCAGGTAACTAACCCCACTCTCTCCATCCTCCACCACCCTCCCAGCGACAGTGTGTGGAATACGCCCTCAAGGCCCGGCCCCTGCGGAGGTATATCCCCAAGAACCAGCACCAGTACAAAGTGTGGTACGTGGTCAACTCCACCTACTTCGAGTACCTGATGTTCGTCCTCATCCTGCTCAACACCATCTGCCTGGCCATGCAGGTCAGTCCAAGGGGGAGCACAGCCACGGTGCTGCAGGAGGGAGGCATGCCATGGGGATGGAAAGCGTAACGGAGCGGCAGGCAGCTCAGTGCATCGCCTTCCTGGCCGCCAAGGGAGGCAGCTGGAGAAAGATGAATATTCCCTGTCAAGGATGTGCTCCTCTCTGGGCCTTAGGGAAGAATCCATGGCACCCTGGGTTGATCAATGGAGAGAGGGGAGGAGATGGAGAAGGGAGGGAGTGAGCTGGACGCATTCGTTGTTGCCGGGAAGGCGTGGCATGTGGAGGTGGGTTCTGCATCCACCCGTCTTCAGGGGCAGAGCTTGTTCCCAAGCTCTTTTGAGTGCCGAAAGTCTCCATAAAGTCATCACAGCCAACTGGGGAAATGAACACAGATGTGTTCAGAGATGGTAGAGCAGGGAAGAGCTTGGAGTTCTCCTGAGTCCTCCTGACTGCCCACGGAGAGGTGGGTGGCCCTCTGGAGTTGGGTTCGAGGAAAGTCTTGCTGAGACAAGGGCCTCCGAGAAGGGTGGGCAAAAGGTGGGGAGGAGAGACCTCCCTGCCCCGTGTTCACAGCTCCTCCCCTCTCCTGATGCAGCACTACGGCCAGAGCTGCCTGTTCAAAATCGCCATGAACATCCTCAACATGCTCTTCACTGGCCTCTTCACCGTGGAGATGATCCTGAAGCTCATTGCCTTCAAACCCAAGGTAGGCCTCTGAGAAAGACCTTTGATTCACAGGCGTCGGGGTGGACAGGACGGGTATTGAAGGCAGAATCAGGGGAAGAGGGAAAAAGGCATCGGTGAAAGACCATCCCTGCTCCAATGGTCAGTGCTCCAACTCCTCCACCTGCCCAGAGCTGAACCAGGCCAACTCCAGGAAACCCTCTCAGCTCTCGGTGTTGACCCTGGCTGGGATGCACAAGCCGCAGATTCCTCGCTGAGCTGAACCTCTGAGCCTCTCCTGGGAGAGGCAGGTGATGGTCTTTCTCCTATGTCCCATCCTCTAGTACATAACCTGTTATTAGAAGAAACTATGCCCATAGACTGGCAGACCAAACCTCTCCGGGCCCAGCCCCCCAGATCCACTCAGGCCTCTGTTCCACCCTCCTCCCATTTCATCAGCCACACAGACCAACCTCGTATAAAACATTCAGCCAGGGCTGGATTTGCTCAGGGCTAGGGCTACAGCCTATGGGCACTCCTGTTCCCTGCCTCAGAGGCTATGGCATTGCTGCTTACACGCTCTGGGGCAGGAAGAACAATTACCTGCAAATTTCTCTGCTTTGTTCCTCGTGTAAGGGCAAGATTAGGCCTGCTCTGCTGAATGAGGCAGGGTCAGAATTCCTGTCCTTTGGATCATCTGTGCCCTTCCTAGCCAGTCACCCCCGCTGTCCTCAGTGGTGGAGGAGCAGTCACTGCTGTGAGCCACATCTTCCACCCTGGGCCTCTGTAGATGGATCAGAATCACCAGCATCCACTGGCCGAGATTCACCACCAGGACAGCTGCTTCTGAGAGAGGCTGTAAGAGCAACTGAGCAGCCCCCAGGCTACCATAACACCTTTTGGAGAAGGATGAGAAGGAACGAGTTCTAGGAGCATGACGCGGTTGCAGACTTGAGACAACCTCTCCAGCTTTACTGAGCTTTCTCCTCCCTACTTTAGTAGTTTTCCCAGATGCAACACAGATCAACAGGAGGCCAAGAGCTGTATTTTCTATTTTCATTCAAGTTTTCACTGGTCTGAAGATTAACTGGGGGTGGGGGAAGGTCCAGCTTGGCCTTCAAATCCATGTTCGTTGAGGAGATATCCGTAGCCTTCTTTGCATGAATATTCAACTCACACTTTTGATTCCGTATCATGTGCTACACATATATCATCGCGTGTCATCCTCAAAACGTCCCTGTAAAGTGGGTATTAGCATCCCTCTGTAGAGAGGGGGGAAGTGAGGCTCAAACAGTGAAGTGCCCAGTATTAATTGCTCCGCTACTAAGAACCGGCAGAACGGAGGCTGGAATCTGGCACCTCTGACTTCACTGTATTTTCCACCACACTGAGGTTAACTAGCATTTTCCCAAGTCAAGTGCTGTGCGGGTATTTTTCAGGAAGAAGGAAACAAGCTTGGAAGGACTTAAAAGACAAGACAGTATTCCTACAATGCAGGTGCTTCTCTCGCTCAAAGAGTGCCTGGGGATCCCGGCTGATTTTCATAGAGTAAGGCTCCTAAAGGACATCCTTTGGTGATAGAACAGTGGTTTCCTGCCTCCTCCAGAGAAGCAAGTACACTCTTTTTCACCTTCCTGTACAAGTCCCATTTAGGAGGACAGATCTTGTCCTGACCTAGAGAGGACCCCTGGGTTGCCCTGACACCTTCCTTAGGGCACACGGTGTCTCTGCCCATGCATGGCCCTGTTCCAAGCCCTGCAGCCCAGGAGCTCTGACAGTTCACCACCCACAGCAGCATGACCAGCTGAGGCTAGGAGTGCAGTCACTGCCGAGCCGAGCCTCGGTCTCGGGTGACATCCTCTCAGTGGGAAAACTGGCGTCGTTTTCATCCAGTGTCATGAGACATATGGTTTAAATATTTCAAAGCCTTGAGTCATTCCACAATTGACTCAGATGTGTTTCTGACGATGTCTGAGGCAGTCTGGAGAGCCTGCAGTAGACTTTCTGAATCTTGCCTCCTGAGCACGGGAGACATACGGACAGCCTTCCCTGGGAGGTGCCTGAAATTGACACCTGCGGGAGCTTCGGTCTAAAAGGCACTCCACCTAAATCCTGCAAATCAAGGAACAAGCCAGTTTCCTAGGAATTAACCATTGCGGGTGGTCTAAACCATAAAGTGCCTCCTAATTTCCTCTGTCCCTGGTTTTCTATTGTGAGAAGATGGGGCAAGATAACAGAGACTTTTACCCAAGAAGAAAGAGAGCCATCCTGGGGCCATTTGCATTTCACCCTCCTATGGTGTAAAGAGAAAGGAAAATGGATCTTTCCCTGTGAATTTCCCTACAAGGGCTCTGGCAAGAGGGGGATAAAGGTGTCCACCCAGTTGGGAGCATCGTGGAGCACAGCTGGGTCCCTGGATTATTTCTGAGCTATGTTCTTCATTCACAAATAGACTCCAGGAAAAGCAGCTCCAAAATTTTCAGGCAGAAAACCAAACTGGAAAAACCTGAAGCTCTGGAAGAAATATTCAGCTGGATCTGGCCCAAGAACCAGTGGCTTCTAACCATTACCTGAATCCATGACAACTTTCATTTCCCACCATTAACTAGGACTCCGTGCTGCACTTTTTATTTCACCGGCATGCTGTTTGTGTATGACCCAGATGAGCATCAGCATTTGCTGTGAAAGGACGGCTAGGAACCAAGGATGTCAAAGACAGTCAGAAGTTGTCACTGCTTATGTTTCGTCTCTGCAACTGGCTGGGTGGTTGTTCCATCAGCCAGTCAACTTACATTCTTGCTTCATTCTTTCATTGTTTTCATGGTCATGGATGTTCCCAATTTCTTCATTTCTGTGTATTCTCCTCACCACTCCATAGAAAATAAATTTACTCAAGTAAGTCCCTGCCTAAAATCTAACCATCCCACTCCTTAAATTCATACTCTGTTCACACATTAGAAAAAAATCACACAAAGAAACTAGGGATCAACATAAACCAGTTTAGATTGAGTCGGTCCCCCACAAAGCCTCAGGAACCTGCGGGGATGGTTTGAAGAGAGTGAGGTGGATCATGGCAGCATTGATTTGAACAGTGAACAGTGATCCAGAAGGACCTCCTTCCATAGAAGGGAGAGGCCACGACCTGGAGATAACCGGATGTCCCCTGCGCCCCACACGATGGTGCAGGACCAGGTTGGGCAGCATGAAAAGTGCTGCCTGGAATATTCTGAAGGTAATTAAATAACTGGATTGTTCTATCATGAACTGATGCTTGTCAGCAAAGACAGGAAAATAAATTTTAAAGATACTCTTATAGATTTGAACTGAAAAATATGCAATGTCTAGGGAAAAAGTCTAATAGAAATGGCTAAGATCTCTACAGAGAAAATGATAAAATTGAAAGGAATTCAAGAAAAGCTGATAACTGAAGACATCTGCCACGTTCCTGAATTGGAAAGCTCAATATTATTAAGGTATCATTTCTCCTCAAACTGATCCATAGGCTCAATACCATTCCAGTGAAAACTCCCAATTGCACTTTGCTGGAGGTGAGAATGGCAGAAGAGGGAGCCGCACCACAAATCCTTTATGGCCAACAGGATGAGGCTGGGTGGTCCTGAGGCTTCAGCCCCTTTGGGCAGCTCCGACGTCACCAAGGAGGCAATGCACAGGAGCCTGGCGCGGGAAGCAGTGTCTGTCTCAGCTACTCCACTGTCAGCTGCTGTTAGTGGGAGTGATGATGTCACTTAGTTGCCTGAGGTTTGCTGTCGAGGATGTCTCAGCAAGGGCACTGGGGGAGGAGGAGCTGCAGGAGGCAGTGAGTGAGAGGCTGGGCTCCAAGCCTCTCCTCCTCAGTGGAACATGGTGTGCCCAGGAAGGCAGGGGTTCACCCCATGGAAGGCTCCTAACTCGTCCCCTCCCCACAAGCTCCCACCTGGACCATGGAAGGGTGAAGCAGCTGAGACTCGCCTCTGCCCCTCAGCTGGAGCCAGCCCACACAGGGAGCAGCCGGTACTCACCTCCCTGAGAGGAGGATGCTGGAGAGGCCTTGACCCTGGCAGCTCTCTGGAATCAAAGTCTCAATCTCCCTTTTCGGTTTTCTCCCATCCTGAGAATGGTCCAGAGGGGAGAGTGGACCCAGAGTGAAGGCACTCGTTGGCCCTTCTGATGCCCTGCTTTCTTTTTATTTATTTATTTATTTATTTATTTATTTATTATTATTATTATACTTTAAGTTCTAGGGTACATGTACATAATGTGCAGGTTTGTTACATATGTATACTTGTGCCATGTTGCTGCGCTGCACCCATCAACTCGTCAGCACCCATCAACTCGTCATTTACATCAGGTATAACTCCCAGTGCAATCCCTCCCCCCTCCCCCTTCCATAGGCCCCGGTGTGTGATGTTCCCCTTCCCGAGTCCAAGTGATCCCATTGTTCAGTTCCCACCTATGAGTAAGAACATGCGGTGTTTGGTTTTCTGTTCTTGTGATAGTTTGCTGAGAATGATGGTTTCCAGCTGCATCCATGTCCCTACAAAGGACACAAACTCATCCTTTTTTATGGCTGCGTAGTATTCCATGGTGTATATGTGCCACATTTTCTTAATCCAGTCTATCACTGATGGACATTTGGGTTGATTCCAAGTCTTTGCTACTGTGAATAGTGCCGCGATGAACATATGTGTGCATGTGTCTTTATAGCAGCATGATTTATAATCCTTTGGGTATATACCCAGTAATGGGATGGCTGGGTCATATGGTACTTCTAGTTCTAGATCCTTGAGGAATCGCCACACTGTTTTCCACGGTGGTTGAACCAGTTTACAATCCCACCAACAGTGTAAAAGTGTTCCTATTTCTCCACATCCTCTCCAGCACCTGTTGTTTCCTGACTTTTGAATGATTGCCATTCTAACTGGTGTGAGATGGTATCTCATTGCGGTTTTGATTTGCATTTCTCTGATGGCCAGTGATGACGAGCATTTTTTCATGTGTCTGTTGGCTGTATGAATGTCTTCTTTGGAGAAATGTCTGTTCATA